ATCAACAAGTTGAACGGCACTTCCTACGAGATTTTCGCTTTGCAAATTTTTCCCCATGCGACTGAACGTATAATCGTCAAACATCAAATATTTTCGCAAATGAAATTTATACCAAGCAAGAATAGAAACAGATAAACTAAAGAAAATTCAAATGCTTGTATTCGTCTTAAAATGATTAACTATAAACCAGATTTAACTAAACTGACGTCACAAGTTCAACATCAGGAGAGCAATTGATATCAAAGAGAACGTTTATTAATAAAGTTCATTCCAGTTTTAATACGAAAACTATCTCTGAGCTAAACGTCTCCTTAATATTCACATTTTGATTGATTGTGACCCGCGGCCGAAAAAAAGTTTACCTACCTATACATATAGAGTTTTCTTCAGATAATCAATCAAACATGATTTTTTTTTTTTGTTTTTCTTATATAAATTTATTGACAAATATTTGTAAAAAAATTTGTACAAGTTATTGCATTTTGGAATACTGCGGTAATAAGACTCTCGACTTCAATTTGGCAAAATCATGGAAACTCCTTGCATACAGGTTGGTATTAAAAATGAGCCACTTAAAGCGCTATATAAACTGATAATATCTCTTTTCCAAAAGGAAGAAAAAGTAAATTTTTTGCTCATTAGCCAAAAACTGCAATAGATACTTTTGTACGTGTAATGTAAGTAGGCGGCCATGCCCAGTTAACCTTAAAGACTAACGAAATTTTATTTTTTTATCTTTTTTCTTTTAAATTAACGTGAATGGAATGGAAGCTTTGCCCATAGCTGAATGTAGTTTTCTTCCTTGTTCAAGAAACCTTTAGATATCGATCTTACAATGCCTACTATTACGTCCCGCTTATACCTTGTTAAAATTCTGCAAGATCTATGTCTAGGTCGTTTTCTTTTTTTTGATTCTTGTTTAATTCATTATATTATGTAATTACACCCAACTCCTTTTTTGCACGGTTGCACCACATGTGCATAGAAATCTGCGCAAAAAAAAAAAAATCGTGCAAAATATATATGCAACTTATCACAAATTTGGGAATATGTTTCGCAACCTTAAAAAATCGTGTAAGATGAAAAAATGTCAAAAATTTTCTCAGAACATCGTGCAAAAAAAGTAATAATGAAATTCATATTATTTGCTTATTTAATGAAAGATACAATATACAAGCTTTCAAGGGCCAATTTAAGTGTATTGTAGTAAATGATAAAGTACACAATTAGGAAGTATAAGTAACAGGTGACGTCCAAGATTGACAGCAAGTAAGCTATAATAAATAGTAGATACAGGAGGCCTAAATATTCCACAACTTCGGTTCGAGGTAAGTAAATTACAAATTTACAAATTGGCTCCTCAGCCATAAATTACGAGTTTAAATGCATCCAAGACAGCAATACCTTAGAACGTATGTCAAGCTAACAGCAATTATGGCATAATAAACGCAGCAGTACAGATCGACATTAATGTAATGCTAACACCAAGTCATAGCTGGTTCAAGATCAATCATGCAAATGGTTAGTGATCTCTTTGATATTTGATGGTGATATTACATTTTATAAAACAACAAAAATTCATTTTTTTTACAAAAACTAATTAAAATTAATGTACAGTGAAAATTCAGTCTGTAAGTGCAACAATGTAAAATTTTAATTGAAATTAGTAATAAAAATCAATTTCTCAACTCTAGCCAGCGCAGGCCTCGAACACATTTATAGGCATAAACTTCAGATTACTGTATTCTCTCAACTGTATTTTGCTGCTGCATACATAACCTTCTGTGAGCCATTGTCAAAAATAGAGTTTAAAAAAAATGTATATTTTTTTTTTGGATTCGTGTTAGAAAAAAAATTCGTGCAAAAAAAGTGTATTTGCTTTCATTGGGGAACCGCGTTATTTCAAAATTTTCTGAAAAAACAGTTAGATGTATAAGGTTATGTGGCGTTTTAAAAAAGGTATTTCACAATAAACAAAGCGGTTTTCCCCTATTTAGTCTTTGAGAAGTATAAGAGATATTTAAGACTGCTTCTATATCTTGGCACTATTGCACACATAAATAAAACTAATTCAGGATCAGAATCAGCCGCCAAAGTCGAATGCTCAAATTTCTATTAAGTAAGCGTGAGGTTATGTTAGCTTTTGTTAGGTTAGGTTATTATATACATAATATGTGTCCGGAGAATGATTACCACAAAAATCATTGTGTAGTTATTATTTGATTTAAGAATATTTTTATTTCATTTGAAAAGCATTTTCTATATAAACATTACTTTCTCAAGTTATTGTCGTCGCGTCTGCTTTGGTTGGAATTGTAAAATTTGATTAACTAGAGATCAAAGAAGCCTGAGAAAATTGTATAATGCAATTATGCTTGGGTACATCAAGGGACGCGGAAATTTATACTTGGAAGAAGATATTAACAGTGTGTGCATGGAAAGCGATAGAGAAGTAAGCGAACGTGTGCAATCATATCAGTGCACTGAATATGGATGACTTGCGTAGTTTCTACTAACACGTAACACGCACATAATTGTATGCTATTCAGGCTGTTTAATTCGCATCTTCTTAAATTTATTGTCCATGATCCATAAAGCTTTTGCTTTCTGTTTTAGTTTATATATATATATATATATATATGACAATTAGCTAAACTTTAAGAGGATAAAACAGTTTGTTTACATAGCTTAATTTAAGTAAGTAAGTAAGTAAGTAAGTAGGCATTGTTCCATTGCTCTATTATTCATAATATTAAAAGCAAATTTATTCTTATGACTTATTATTCATTTTCATAATTAATTAATTGTTTTATCTACGCTATATGGTTGCTTATAAAAGTTAGATGATGTGAATGTAGAACGACCAGTTTTATGTTATAAAATTTTTAATGCCTTTTAATCAATAAAAGTCAATAAATTAATCGGATTTTAAAGCTTTGTTACGAAAAATTAGATCATATACATAAATGTAGGTTTATTTTCCATAAATTAATCTATCTCGTTTAAATATTATTATCATCATTTTATTGCTAAAGCTTCTAGTTTTCCATTGTTTTACTACCTAAGGATAACGAAAGCAAAACGGAAATTTTATTCCGGTTGGAGCGAATCTTGAAATACCTATCAGCATCTTGCGTGTGATTGGAAGATAGAGTGTATATACATTTACCCGATAGAATATGGATCGTATATCGTACCATTATATTCTTATAAGATTTGGCAGCATCTTATTTGTCTCTAGAATGTAAACACATTTACCCGATAGAATACGGATCGTATATTGATCCATATTGTTCTTATAAGATTTGGCAGCACCTTACTTTCCGTTAGAAAGCGGAATGTAAATACATTTACCCGATAGAATATGGATCGTATATCGCGCCATGTCTATCTTTTATTGTTTGCCTTTAGAAGGCGGAGTGTTAACACATTAACCCGATAGAATGCGGATCGTAAACTGCTCCATATTGTTCTTATAAGATTTGGCAGCACCATGTTTGCCTTTAGAAGGCGGAATTTTAACACCATTGACCCGATAGAATGCGGATCGTATACTGCTCCATATTGTTCTTATAAGATTTGGCAGCACCATGTGTGCCTTTAGAAGGCGGAATGTGAATACATTTACCCGAAAGAATATGGATTGTGTGCCGCACCATATCTCTCTCTGTTATTGTTTGTTTCAAAGTATATTTTTGTTAAATTTGGTAGCATCTTGCTTACTAGAATAGAATATAAAACATATATCATGTGTTACCTATCTTATATTCTATTCTTAAGACATATTTGGCAACACCTTGTAAATAGTTAGATAAACTAAAGGGATAGAAGCACAGGGGCCTCGCTTATATATTTGTAATGCACACAGTCGTGGTACTAGTAGCTAAATCTTCGAATCCATCTACTTGAGTTTGAACTTGACATTCAGATTTTATTAAGGCAATTTCTGCTTTCCAACTTTTAAAGCCAAGCTAGACAGAAAGACATAATTGCGAAAAAGAAGAAAAATAATCAAATATTCCTTAAAGGGATAGACTGCCGTAACAGCATTAAAAAGGGCTCGAACGACGGATATGCCTAAATGGATTGCTTAATTCGCTTTAGTTAAATATATATGCACATGTATATAGTCTACGGTGTTCCCGATGCATATCTCTCTATACGTTGCAAACATTTGCCAAATTTAATACATGCCATGTAATGCGTAGATAATGAAATGATTTCCTACTTATTGCAGTACTAGTATACTAGTTTGTTAGCAAAATACATGTACATATATCTGTGTATGCGTATGCATGATTAACGGACACACAATGTCATGCACACGCGACGATGTAATTTTTCCGAATACTGTGACGTATTAACCAATAAAAATTGTTGTAGTTAGCTTTAAGGATACTCTGTTGACTCTTGAGAGATAAATAAAAGCGACCGTCCTTTGGTTGAAAGCATCATTACAGTTTAACACTTCGATCAGCGTACAAAGTGTTTTATTATTTTCATATAAAAATATACAATAAAATAATAAATTCTTGCAAATTACATATTTAAAACAATTAATTTGTGAAAAAAAAATAAACCCGAAATCCTTACGTCAAATTAAGGTTAGATAGTTCTATGTGATATATTATTACGTGATTACAGTATTTTATTCAATAGTTACAGTACAGTATAGTATAGTAAAAAATTTATTTTAAGATAATTTTTTCATTTATTGTTCATAATAACTGAGCAACTAAGCAATGGAATGGCGTTCAAAAAAAAAAAAAAAGAAAAGAAAAAAAAAATTACAATAATGTGTTTATTTGACGTGTAAGGTTATTTGCGTGTGAGAAAATCATGAATTAGTTACCGGCACATTTTGGCAGCCTTTCTATATGAAAAACGGTGATGGGCAATGTTTTTTTGTTTTAAGCTTATTTTTAATGACCGCAACACGTATCGTTACACTTATCAGTTTCCTTTTTTGAAAGAAATTAATAACTTATGTCCTAGTGAACATTAGTTATTCAAATAGTTTGATATATTAGAACAAATACTGGTGAATTTTTAATTGATGATTTCGAAATATAAGAAAAGGTATAGAAATTTACTCGATACGAATATTAAAGCGCTATTGTTTAAAGTAATCTAAGATCTGTTAAGGGATAATGGTATTTTGTTTATTTAGTTGTAAGCTACAGCACAGAGCCAATTACGTTTATACCGATGTGTGTGACATCTGGAAGGACTTTAAAGTGACATATCTTTTATCACACCTAACCGTTCAGAATCACTTTCTGACTCACTTTCTAAAACTATCGAAGCTTGTCTGTCCGTCTTGCTCTTTTATGTTCGCAATATCTGACATTTTGATGAAATTTGATACATCGATAATAAAAAAAAGGATGAAAAAGACTGTATCTATACAAGTTTGTCTGTCCATCTGCCTGCCCACAATTTTCAAGATATTTTTTTAAAGTGCGAAAATTGTCTAAATCGGACCATTTTCTTGGCCAATCTCCACGTAAAGCCGTTTTTTTGATAAGTCGTTAAAAACAACAAGACAAAAATCGCTTAGTAATAATGTTTCGACATTTTAAATTGATCTGAGAACATTGGATCCAAGGGAGAAATTTTTTTCAACCCCTTGACATGTAACCGTTCCCACGAAAAACTGAACATTTATGTGGTAACAAAGCCTAATTTTCAATATTTGTTGGTGAAAATTCATTCGAGAGACTACATTGGTCCAATTTTTGCATCACAATTCCTAAAATGATTCTAACAAAAAATAAAGCTTTATATGCCAAAAAGACCCAATTTTTTTATATTTCATAATGGAAACAACTGCAAATTGCTCTTTGATACGTAAATTAAGCTTGCAAAATATGAACCAGATTTACGTTTGAGTGTTCTTCAATCAAATGTTTTCATCAAAGTGACGCATTTACCTAAAAAAATTTTTTGCGTATTGTTAAGTAATAGAGGGACTGCATTAGGCCAAGCCGTATAGGGTATCTAACAGTTGATCTTGCCTGACTATAGCATTCATTTTCTTTTCCTTGGATCATCGACTATAAACTACTCCTCAAGTGTTTGAAGTAGATATTCACACAACATACCATTAAATACCTTAAGCCACTTTCTTTAATGCAGTTATTTATACAATGACTTTTGAAAATAATGTATTATAGCAAAAGTGATAAAAAGTACCAAACTTTATCACAATATCTCAATAATTGCGATCTGTAAGCTAAAGACAACACGGCTGGGCAGATGTGCTTAAATCAATTTGCCAAATGATTTTAAATCGATGGCTATAATTAAAAGCATGGACCTACCTTAAATCCTTCTGGTACAGTTTAACTAATCATTTTCCACTTTTTTCGACGTTTTCTTAATTAGTGACTTTAAAATTTATAGCCTTATGTCCTCAACAGTTCCTTAAAACACTTGTAATGCGGTGACATTCCTACAAAAATGTAGAGCATGCTTTATACGATCCATACATAGCGAATCTTTTTATCTTTAAAATATGGTGCAAAAATTATTGGTGAAGCTCAAGGCGAACATTTTACGAGATTAAGGTAATTATAGGAGGTTTTTAAGAGAGAGCTCACCTAGCATCAGTCACTTGTCGTATTTGATAATACTACGACTTTCGTTGTTAAATGTTCTAACTAACTTTAAGTTTTACTCTACCATATAATTTGTCTAGCGGAAGCATGTAGAATATAGTTACAGTTATAGGAAGAATTCATTAACTTCCAAGCCAAGGTTGCCTATTTACGTTGTTTTCAGTTCTTACACAAGTTGTGGTCAGTGTATTGCAAACTACACGATTCTAACAAAAACATTATCGAAAAACTGAAGCAATATACGCAACTGGGCCGAAAATTTAAAGAAAAGCGATCGCAGTGTGAAAAAAAAGTTATAGGATGGTTTGTCAATTGGAAGACCTCCAGTTCACTACTGTAAAGCTCCACTAAGTAAGTCTAATGGCAACTGAGATATGCTCCTTCGACTCCTTCCGTTGCTGTTTTCGCCGGTATTTGATTTGAATGGAATAATTTCACTTCACTTAATAATTTTTCCACAGAGTTCAGTGAAACCTATTATTTTAGCATAAATCGTGCAAACGTGTAAAATGTTGAAGAGATGGGATCATTTTTTTTAAACCTTTCGGTAATAGATAGTCTTACAATAAATTAACTTTTATATAACATTAAAGTTTAATTTTTAGTATGTATTTTAATATTTTGTAATAAAAGTCGCTGCAAAATAGTGAGCTAATACATAAATATACTAAATTATGTTTAGACTTTTTCATATCAGGTTTATAATAACAAGTAAGCCCTTATACGGCAGCATTCTCTAAGATTTCGTATACTATAAAGGAAATTGACGAATAAATATATTAAGCGAATGGTTTGGGGTATTTGATAGGTGTTTCTGCTAATAAATTTATATAATTGATTATTCAAAATTTTATAATCCCAAAGAAATAAATTCTTGTACTAAGCAGTTGGTCTTTTTTAATTTTCCTAAAAAAATCTCTTGGTTGGTCTTTTTTAATTTTCCTAAAAAAATCTCTCAACAGTTTTTGATGTTAGAATTTATTATTATTATAAATTTAGCCAGAGAATCAATTCTAAGACTAAAGTCTTAAAGCCCTAGCATCTAAAGATTTCGGCTTTATTAAAAAGTCTACCGCACTTAAGATTTTTAGAATTTAATATACCTAATAGCTTGTTTTTGGGTTTTTTTTTCTTTTGAAGTTCTCGGCAATAAAACAATAATCAATAGGAAATATATATAAAAAGTACTTATGTGGTTCGTGGGTTAGTGTAGGGGTAGAGTTCAACCAAGTACCTCATAATTATATTGACTTTTAACGCATATTCTCTTTATCAACTTAAATTACGTATTAAATAAATTAAAGGCATAACAAATAAGAAAATTATATTCGGTCATGACTGAATCTTTTATACCCGTCATCATTTTCTCAAATACATAAAAATAGTGAAAAAATTAAGTTTTCATGCTCTTTAGTATGGTGTGGACGCAGCTGATTTTTTCTATCTTCAAAATAAACGTTCTTCCTGAACAGGCGTATGGTCGTTGTAGACGTGTACTGGGACAAGTTTAGGTCTCTTCCAAACTCTTTTGCAAATTTGTAAGCGATATCTTCATTTACGCTAACGGGAGAATGTTTACCGCAAATACTATCAGAATTGCGCAGACAGACAGATGGACAAACGAACAGACGGACATGTTTGGCTACCATTCCAGATTTCAAACTGGCCAAAAATTTATGTACTTAATGGGGTGTGGGAAGACGTGGTCAATTTTTTCCATTTTTACGCAGGTGCTACAGCATAACCCATAGAAAATGCGTTACAATTTTTGTACATTTATGTGTTATAGTTTTCGAGTAATAGCCAAAAAGGCGGATTTTTATTCCTCTTGGAAAACAGAGGTATGCTCAATTTACGCGATGCTGTGGGCGTTTTTTGTTCTTTGGCTCGTTTTCAACGCCAACCTGCGTGTAAAATCGACGTTTCAGTCAAATTTGAAAATGGTAACTCCATTTTTGCGATCAAGAGAATACTTAGAACAGACATTATACAGACGGAGAGACACACAGACGGACATTCTTAACTCGATTTGGAATTTGATGCTGATCAAGAATACATATACTTTGTGACGTCTCTGATGCTTCCTTCTGGACGTTGCAAACGTTTTGACAAAATGCATATACCACTGATCCTTGTGGAGGCTGGGTATAAAAATATCTAAACGAAAACAAGTGAAAACATAATAGCCGGTCAAGACCCCCATTAATTACACTACATCTTTATTTATTTATTAATTTCAATGATAACACATCAAAAATCCACTAGATATGGGCGGTTGGAACAAATGGACTTATTTTATAGAAATGTCCTACTACGAATTTTTATGCCAAATAGAAGCAATTAAGAAATTAAATGTTTTTGCTAAAGCACTTACTACTCATGAGTGAAGTGAAAAAATAGACCTACGTGGTCCAAATTTGGTTCAATTAATTTTTTTTCTCATATTAGTATTATGGGCATAAACTATTCATTACTTTTAAATCTCTTTGGCATAAAAGATTTTAATTTTCATCCTATACGCGATTGTGTCCGAAAAGTAGATCTATTTCATTCAAACTTGATACAATTAAGTGCCACAACAAATTCCTCTTATGAGCCAATTTTCATCGTAAAATATCACAAATTGGGCATATTTGATAGATAAAAACCTATTGTTGATGAGAGCCTTTATATGGAGTGGAATTAAAAAAAATAGATCTATAAGGTCCAAGTTTGGTGAAGTTAATTTTAACGTCAACTTTTATAAAGAGGCACTCAAAAATAGATCTATCCTTTGGCTAGTTTCCGTGGAAACGATTGTACTGGAAGAATATCAAGAAATTATCCCATCCGATCCAAATTTTCACATCAGTTTTGAATGCCGAAAGAGGTGTTAGGTGAGCAGTTATGAAAATTACGACACCTTCTAAGAAATGACTTTTTAAAATAAAGTGTAAGAAGAGAAGCAATCGAAAAGCCAGTCCGATTTAAAACGTTTTCAATACCGGTTTGCTTTTAAGTCAAAACAAGTCAATGTTTACCCAATTTCAACTTGTACATTGAAAACAAGAAAACATAGGCAGACGGACAGACAAGAGATACTAAATTGATCGGTATAATAATAGGTGGGTTTACCTTAAATCCTTCTGGGTGTTACATACGTGGGTAAGTGATATAGTGTACAGATTTTCATGGGTATGTAATTTAATCAAATTTGCCTTGAGGGCGACGCTCAAAATTCGAAGAAAAGTATTTAGAAGATATAAAAAATTGTATCGCATAGAAAAAGAACGGCTGTAGCTACATTTTGACATTCGATATATATAGTTAAGAATTAATATAAATTCTAGGCAATTGCTGCATATTACGACAACAAAACCCACGATGATCCTGCAATGTTTACCTATCTAGTTTGTCCTATATTTTATACTATCCTTAGAAACGTAATGGATAAAAATTACTTTTTTGCGTTCTATGACAACAAAGTGCATTTGTTATCCCTTCTTGATGCCGTTACCAGCTTTAATACTTTCGCAAAACATCTTAAAGATATGCGAACATATGTCACAAAGCATATTGTATATAAAGCTGTAGTACCGTTAATTTACCTAAGGTGCGATTTAGATGATTTGATTTTGTAGAAAAGCGAAAAGAAAAAAAAACAAAAACAAGAACAAGAAATCGACAATGACTTTTACAGAATGGCAATCAATTATGCCGCACGCACAAACAAAGATACCATGTGCGACGAGGTGAACGTTAAGCATAAGTTTTCATTATTAATAAAAAATTATTAATAAAAATAAGTTAAACATGCTGCTTAAGGAGATGAAGGAAAACGCAAGGCATAAGATAATTTTACATTTACGTAACATGAATTTATTGCTATGTATGTAACGCTTTGGGCAAAGTGGAATACTTTGTTAGATTTATTAGATAATGGCAAATAAGTGACAATAACAAATGATTGCTTAATAAAGTTTAACAAAAGAAAATTTCAATATGAATTTTATTAACTTTGCATGTTTTTTTTTTTTCAATATTTATTTTCAGTTACTTTACTATGTCGAATCAAATTGTTGCGTTTATTACTTTCGGTATTATTTTGTTTCATGGATGCGAGATGATTTACGGGACTTTTGTAGTGCCACCTCTTTGCAAGCCTGGTGTTATTGAAGACATGCCGCATCATATTAAAAAAGTTTGCCTAGCCTTGGAAAATTCTGATCAATTAACGTCAGCCCTCGAATCATTTATCAATAGAGAAGCATCGTGTAAGTTAAGCAATAATATAAAACAATTCAAAATATAACAGTTGGGCAAGGCCGACTATTATACGCCCCACACCAGTTAACCTCATAAAAAAGTTACACACTATTTTCATGCATAGGCATACTTTTCATGAAGGCCCGTACATTGAAAGGATCCTTATGTGCGATGATATCAAAAGTAGACTTACGGGGCCCAAATTCCGTAAGGTTGCTTTCTATATCAAATTACTGTTATGAAATAATTTTCATCATGAAACATTAAAAATTATGCCTTATTAATGCATAAAGATTTACTTTCCGTACGAGCGGTTATATAAGAGAGATATTTCAACAATTGCCCCAGTCTGACCAAATTTTCCAAATCGATTTAGAATATTTAAATATTATTACAGAGCAAGTCTTATCGAGAAATTTTGAAAATTGCAATTTTCTTCCATATAACACCTTTCCAAAACAAAAACTGGTCGAGAAGATAGGTCGATGAAAACCATTTTCAATAGCGTTCGTCCTTGGGTCAAACCAGGTGGGTGTAACAAATTTAAAAATATCGCAAAATGGCCACCATTCTAGCTTGACCACAAATTTACATGGACAAACGGACACACGGATAGACGGGCAGACCTTTTTGCGTATTACGTACGTCCACACATACTTTATATACCCTGCACCGCGTGATGTGAGATACGAACATTATACAAGGGCAGTGGCGACTTTTATATTCCCTTCTTCACATTGCCTAAAATAATTTTTTTATTTATTTTCGTGCCGAAAATTATACCTCGTTTCCAAATTATGTCATTCAATCGATGGAATCCTTTATACAACGGCAGGCTCTGAGGTGGGTCAAGTTGAACATATTTAACTTTTCTCTTAACGATGCTATTATTATTCACCCATTTTCGTCATATGCCATTAAAAGTTAGACTTGGTTGCCATGTGAAGGCTTACGTTCTATGGGAAGCGCTGTATGCTGCATTGTCAAAAAAATCAATCTAGATGGTTCGATTCGTTGCTACAATTAATTTCTATGTCATGTTACGACGATGAACCAATTTTTATTATGAAATTATACCTTTTTTCCATGCGAAGTCTCCCTTGCCGAATAGGCATCGCGACTAACAATTTACTTGTAGGTATAGCGAAAGCGCAGTTGATCAAGATATTGCACTTACCAATTCGGCACATACACCCCCTAGGCTACGGCTAGCTCCTTCTTCTCTTTCTTCTTTCTTCTTTGAAAAGCAAGAAAACAGACTTGCCATGAAAAGTTGTGTGTCAGGAGGACTCAAACAAATTGACTTACGTAGCTCGAATTTGAAGCAATCAATTTTTGTAGTATATTGTCGCCAGCATCCAATTTACGCTAAAACGACATTGTTGTCAGATAAGAGCTTAGCTTGAAACACATGCACAGGAACCAGTATACAGGCTAAGTCTCTGATTTCGTATACATAACAGCTTTTTATATCCCAGCAACTTTCATCGCAGAGTTTTAGAAACCAGGATCCCTTTGTGACATAAAAGCTTAATTTCCATGGCAATACTTATACGAGAGAGGATTCGAAAAACAGAACCATCCGCCCCAAATTTATGACATCAATCCAGTATGTCGGAACATCAACGCTGTGCAGTCTTTGTAGCGGAATTTGCATCTATTTTCATGTAACTGTTTTTTTAAAAGAAGGCGGGATATGGGGAGTAGTTACAGGCATCATCCGATCCAATTCATTTTCTATATGACTGGTTCTAGCGCCAAACTGCATCAGTATACTAGCTTTCGGCAGAATATCTGAAAAATGCCGACCTGTTAGCTGAAAAGAAAATACGAAAACAGACATCTGCTCTGACGTATGGACATACATGCTTAAATCGATTTCGAAAAAGAGTCTTAATCGATCGCTATATGTCATAAGTTAAGCATTTCCGGGTCTTACATATATCCGCGCAATATTAATATACCCTGCACCGTAAATGGCACAAGGTTTAAGCCAAATTTTTTGTTATCTACAGTGTGCTTGGTAAAGACATCTAGTTACAAGGTAGTGAAAAAATTCATACACTCCATATGTATCCTATGTTATCATAGATATCATTTATGGCAATTTTTTACATTTTGCTAATACCTTATTAGCAAATGTGAGGACAAAAGTCATAATTGCATCGTCCGTTTGTTTTCAGCAATTATAAGCAAACTCCATTTGATATAGCTGGTCTTCGAACCTTAAACAGAAACATTACTAAAGGAAAAAATTAAGAGCCCCGTCATAAAATTGTCACTTTTTTACCGATTGTAGGCGGAGCAAAATCTAATAGACGGGGTTTCAACAACTCATTTTCGCACTTCTCCAACTTTGGGGAGCCGCGTGCCTGCCAAACCATGCTGCATCGAAATGAACAATTGGCAATAACGCAGTACGCGGCGTGTGGCAGGACTTCCTATTCGACCTGCAACAGTGTATCCGTGACGATTCTTGCAATCTTTGGCCGGCCGTTGTCTTGCAAGTGGATGACTTTGCGTCTTTTCGCCGCTATTACTATTGCTGGTCTTTTTTGCAACAATACATTGTTCAACTTGTTCAATTGACGCCGGTAGACATCTGCAGTCGCAGTTTCATTCGGTTTTTAGCAGCTCGTAATACACTACACCTTACTGGTCGTCCCATTTGCACAGAAAAACTTTGTGGCCATGCATATGCTTCTATGTCGATTTGAATGCCTCTCCTGGGCTTACCCATGACTTTTTCTGCTTGGAATTGTAGTAATAGATCCAGTTTCCATCGCCCGCCACAACACGTCAAAGAAAACTCTCCTTTTTTTACCTGGCAAGCAATCAAAACCGCGATGTGAAAAGGGTTTGGAAAGGAATTTTCAGCCAATTCGTATGGGACCCATTTTCTCTCTTTTTGGATTTTTCCCATCGCACGTAAACAATCAGTTTATTTATCAACTAAGCAATTCGAAAGTCCTTTGACAGTTTGAGCTGGGTTTCCGCCCATAAATCTTGCAGTGTTTTTGTTCTTTCGTGCCGTTCTTTGTCATTGACATTAAAATCTTTACTTTTAAACGGAGCCATAAGTTTTTGGGATTGTGCGACTTCGACAAGAGATTTCTTCAAATCAAACAACAAAAGTAATGAAGGACGAAAATGCAATTTTGAGCGTTCCATGATTAGCCTCTGCATGCACTGCATATGTCAATAATACTAAATTGAAAACTGTTGTTTTTGAGTAGAAAAAGGTCAAAATCATTGAATTTAATCGATACGTACACTGGTATTCCACATTCCATCCATCATCTTTACCTGGAGAAGTCGCTGGCCAAAATTTTTGCTAAACATGTGATACATTTGTACGCAACTTTAGTAATGGAAAGAGCGATCATTCTTACGGAACTTTTAAGTTTTGTCTTTCTCGAACCTGGTGTAACTTGAAAGTGAAAAAAATTTGTGAGAAAACTTTGAAATCGTAAAGAAAAATTAAGATGGACAAACGAACAGACCTGCTAGTTCCAACTCTTCTACTCGAGTTAAAGTAATCTTTAATATTTACTTATTATTTTATTTCGGACGGACGGACAGGCAGGTAGATATCGTAAAACTGATTTTATTACTCACCAATCCAGTCAAGCATTATTTGAATCATTTAATAAATCATCAAAATTAATTTTTATTGATAGGTCAAAAAAAAAAAAATAATAATAATTGCTTAAGGATATTAACTGTTTTCTCAAATTTTTATACTTGTATACGTATAGCTTTCGTGTCAGCAGATTTACTTAACAAACTGGATAAGCGCTCAGATGTAGATCATGTTTTTCTACGCTTCGGAAAAAGACGTTAAATTGCACGGAATTCTATTCTTACAAAATGATGACCAAATATGATAAAAAAAAAAACGTGTTTTTTAAATTATTTATTTATTAATTTTTTTGTACATAAATATACGTGTAGGTATGTATTTATCTATTAATTGATCTCTTTGTAATACATTAATGCATTACAATACAATTATAAACGACAGAGCAGCTGTACTTTTATTTGTTGTCCTCATCAATTCTTTGTAACACTTCTAGTCACGACATGAATCTAAAAAAAATCTATGATGAATATGTGAATTCAATTATAAAAAAAAGAAACCACTAAAAAAAAAAAAAAATTCCTCTTATGAAAAACAAAAAGAAATTTTTATTTATTGGTTTAATGCATATGATTCTGCTAATAAAGGGTAATTAAAACAAATTAAACAAACAGGAGCTTATATTAACCAGATTAAAATAATTTATAAGCACAATAAAATATATTGAGCCCAATATATTAAGTAAGTGTTAGCTATCCGCAAGTGTCAATGTCTTTAAATAAATATACGATGAATTCTTAAGGATTTAATACATTTTTTCGACTGCTTAACGTTTAATTTATTTCAGGGATTTCCAATCTTCTTTTCAGGATGGAGTGCGTTATTATATAGACAATTAAACGTCAAGATATTTCAACATACTGTTCAATATTCTAACTATTGCGGTAAAATTTTAGGCACATTTTGTGTTTCTTTTATTAATAATAGTAGTAACGCTGTTAATTAGCAGCCATTTACCTGCTTGCTCTTTCATTCTCATTATTTGTGTAGGCAAAAATTCCGTTCAGCTGTCACAATTGTTACAAACGTATACAAAGCAAAATGTATATATATATATATATATTATATATTTTTAAGTGAATATGCGCTATGGTATATAGGAGAAAAAAGAAACAATAGATAGATAACAAATATGATTTATTGTTTTTTCATTGTTTATTCGGCATTGAAGAATTCTATTTTTGACGTGGGTGGGCGTGTATGTAGAGAATAGTAGAATTCACCTTAAAATAAATATAGAAAATTTCAGCTTTCCATCCTTGATAATTTATGACAAACTTAAGTGCTTTAATGTGGACGTACGCTTTGACCAATATGTCCAAACTTTTTATTCCTTTCAAAGAACAGAGGCGTTCTCAGTTTACGTAATGCTGTGGACGTGTCCTTCGATCGATTTGGCCCATTTTCAACAGCAAACCGTGCGCAAAAACTTCCAATGTTTCTGTCAAACTTGAAGTCGCAAGTTTTATTTTCCGGCTAGGAGAATGTTCAGAACAGGCATTATATAAACGAACAGACGGACATGCTTAAATCGGTTTAGAATTTGCTATTGATCAAGAATATATACAGTTTATAGGGACTGTGAAGTTTCCTTGTAGGTATATTCAAATTTCTCAAATGACAGAATGAGCGTACTCCTAATCCTTCGGTGACGCATATAGTGAAGATAAATTATTCCTGAAATATATAAATATTTTTAATAATAAAAAATTTTGCTTGACATGAAAATTTTCGAACATAAAATTGCAAATTTTCCAATGTAAAATAAACGATGAAAAGTGATATTTGTTATCCACCCACACTTTCGGCTTGTCTGTACATATACGCTTATTTGTATGTCATAGCGCGCATTCACTTAGAAATCCATTTGATTTTGATTTGTAAACATTTAATATACTATGACGTCATATCAACAAATCTTTAACAGTGAGCAGTCAAGTGACTGCTAATTAACAACGTCACTGCTGTTATTGATACAAGAAGCACACGCAAGATTCGTGCGATTTTAGTGCAATAGTTTGAATTTTGAACAAAATGTTGGGACATCTTGTCATTTAGTTGTCTCCGATTATTATGTAAAAAAGTGCTGACAATTTTTTGTTATCTGACACGTGAAGCTTGCTTATTACTAATGTGTGATGCGTACTCCTTTCCCGGCGAAAAGATTCTCTATATAACTCTTGATTTATCGGGTAAAAAATGTAATATCAAGATATGGAAAAAGAATTATTTCTTATCGAATACGATACCTCTACACCTCTAAAAATTAGGAATCCCTAATTTACACTGGAACTTTCAATATTTTTTTGTTTTGATTTATTTTAGGATTTTTTTTTACATTAAGTGTGTAAGATAACTAATGAATACATATTTCTATTAGTTTTATGTGACAGCATTACAAGGAAATTGTACGAGTTAATTAATCTTTAAACTTCTTTTGACGGGTGCAAAGTAGTGAGAAAACACAAACTTCGTGTTCCAAGACATAAACTAAATTGAACCAAATTTTTTGGGATACGCACGCAAATGTTTTTTTACGCGGTAGATATGTGCCTTAGAAAATCGTGTAGAAAAATACATACAATGTATGGGAAATTTGGGGATATGTTCCACAGTTCTAAAAAATCATGTAAGGTGAAAAACTCTAAATATTTTTCCAAAACACCATCTAAAAAAGTATTAAAATCAATGCACGTTAGAAATTTAGTTCATAAGTTGAACATATCAAAAAATTCAAATTGAGATTACGAATAAAAATCAATTTCGCAACCATTCCTTGCTGTTCCATAACAAGCCTGCACGTTTATTACGAGGTGGATCAGAAATGCTATCATCAATAGATGTGCCAGATATGGCTAGGCCAACTGTCGAGTTTGATTTAAATGAAGAATTTCTTTCGCTAATAACGGCCAAGTAGTCACTAACATATGGGTGGATCTCCGATCAATTGTACTTTATTGTCGTATACATAGATTTCTGTAAGATGCTGTCAAAAGTAGAATAAATAAAAAAATGTCTTGTAAAATTTGTTTTTCTTATGTCTATTGGTGAATCGAGTTTTTTCAAAATCGTGTAAAGAAGACCGTGTAAAAAAGAGTTCACAACATTCCGTCTTATTTGCTTAGAAAATATTCTGCATTAAATACGAAAAACTCTTTCAAAATGGGACTTTTTTCCCATCATACACAACCACAAAGCTCATTCTGACGCTGCAATTATTCCATTCTTCAAATATAACTCACTTTAATATTTTCTTATTTCTAACCTAAAAGGCCATCTAACTGACAATGTTTTTATGCACGAAGTCATTGGCAAAACTCAAGGTGATATCTAAAGAAACACTTCGTCAATGTTTCTCAAACCGCACTATGCGTAATACGGTTACGAATATCGCACATCCGATAAGTTAAGTTCCGTAGGAAGGCCACCTATCATTGAAAGAAAACAAAATTTTCAAAAAATGTAGGGAAAGTGATAAAACGAATTAAAGTTTGCAATACTTTATTTGCCATCGTCTTAAAATAATGCTTCAGCGTTTGAATAGATTCCCTGTGAACACAGTCTACGCTACTGTAAATTGTCCACACAAAAGATCAAAAGGTACTTGATAAAACAAAATGGGACTTTCGTAAGAACATCAAAAGAATGTAAAGAGTGGAATAAAAAGTGAAAATTAAGGAAATATTTTTCATTTGAACATTCTGTTTATATATTTAGATCGAGTCAGGACTATATGCAATCATAAGATATATGCTTCATAGCCAGAAAATTTTGAAACATTTTTGTTTATCAAAACACACGTTCGAAAGAACACAATCTTCAAATCTTCAAATGGAAATCATCTTCGGCGAAGAGTCCTTCTTTTCCCTGAATATGTTTGTTAATAAAACCAATTACTGTATTCGATCATGTTATCAAAATGAGAAGCTTTACCAGAGGTAACTCAAATTTTTTTGTAATTGAATAGAAAATGTTCACTTCTCAGACTGTATATCGCTTGTGGTGCAGGAACACATTAAGATGTAAGGACTTGAAAGAAACTCAACTTTCACTGTACCGATCTGTCCGTGTTGCTTTTTTCCCCAACCGACAGGCGGTAATTTTTGAGATATTTTGATAAAACTATACGCGCTGACATACTTTGGTCCAACGATTAGAGCTATTAAAAACGGTTCGAATCGGAAGACTTTTTCGCCCATGTCCCATATGATTCTCTACTTTGAAAAGTCGTGGTAGGAATACCTGTACGGCGATGTAGGGTATTCCAGCTCTCTTCCGACCGTAAAAAATGAACATAGACATTAGAGGTCTCAAAAATAAATACTGCTGTCCCTAAAAGGAGGCGTATGATTCCAAACAAGGCACTACAAAATTGTATCTCTAAAACTCAATCGTAGCGCGGGCGGTTAACAACAATGGCATATTGTTTTTCAGCGAGTAATTGTTATACGATTAAACATTACTAGGTCAGGATTTAACAGTTAACTCCTTGAGACGTTAGGACATAGTAGTTACTCATGCCGCTTTTATGGCTTTATAATGGTCGCTTGTTTTCGTAAAAAGCTAAAAAAATTGAATGTTCCCGACATGAAATCTCATTAAGATGGTCAAAGCGCCTATAGCCGCGCAGGACTGATGTAACGGTATGGAATGCAAAAGATCAAAGTCTCTCTGTTAAAAATAAGTCCAAAATAAAGACACATAGTATCCTTTGCAACCAAATTGTTAAGGCGCGAATATGAAGAGACAGCATAAGTGAATCAATTTAATAAAAGAATGAATTTAATATAAGTCCAACGCAAATGAAAAAAATTTGTAAGCAATTATTAGCTCACCTTTGCAAAGTATTAAGAAAAATGATATTACGTTTTTGATATACACGCATTACGTACTTTTCTTCGATAGATTTGTATTTTTGCATTTATTACACATACAAAATCAATTTGTTCTAATTGTTTACGTTAAGCATTTACAACCACATGGTAATGCATTTGCATTGTTTGCTTGCCTTTAACTTATTTCAAAGTTTCGTTATACATGGACACATAATGGATAAAAATGGTCTTTTATTTTGTATGATAATCGAAGAGAATTTTGTTTTTTTTTTATTGTTGTATCTTTGCAATACAGTATACAGTATATGGTACATAAACGACATAAAGAGAATATGTGTTTATATCCATTACTGAAGGATGACTTTTGTGGAAAACGTTCGTAACGCCCAGAAGTAAGCTTTAGAGACCCATATATAGTATATATATATTCCCGGTCAGCATTCTGAACTCTGAATCGATTTAAGCCTGCCCGTCTGTCAGTTTGCCCGTCTGCTTTCAGCATTCTTCTGGCCGCAAAAATGTGACTAACGGCTTCAAATTTGGCAGAAACGTTGAAAGTTCTTATACGCAAGTTGGTATTAAAAATGATCTAAGCCGGTCAAAGGACACGCCCATAGTTGCATGTCAACTGAGGACAATTCTGTTTTTCAAAAAGGATTACAAAAGTGTGTTTTGCTCATTACTCATAAACTGTATCAGAAAAATGCACAAAAATTTGAACTTATGTTCTATTGGCGATGATGTAGGGCTCATAGACACCACTGTAGTGCATTAAAACATAATTTTTTTTTTTCAGTACCTTTATAATGCGCAGAAACAAGCTTCAAATCCCCACAAAGTATATAAATTCTTAGCGAGTATCAAAGTCGGAAAGCACGTAAGCATATCCATCCGGCAATTTGTCCATCTGACCAACTGTGGCGAACATTCTTTCATTAGCGAAAATGCAATTACAAGTGACCAAAACTTTTCAAGGATACACCC